AGCAGTGTGCTGGTCACTGTAGCTGAAGAACAGCGGGGGCACCTGCCTAAGTGGGGGCACCCACGCGACTCCGACATCGAGGAGACGCGTCATGTCCCATTGTGCTCCAAGGTCGAAGATTGCAGTTGCAAGCTGGACTCAGACGGAAACGGGCAATCGGTAATACTCTGCTTTACGGCAGAAATGGCAGAGGTAGTCCTGTTCGAACGACAGCGCATATTATTAAATGCTGACCGTGTGACCACCATGCGAGTATATGTTGCCGCCGCTGCAAAGCGAGCTGCGGTCGTCAAGGAGAACGACCTCCTCGCGGAGGCTGACGTCCAGGCGAATCCCGAGTGAGTATCGAAAGCCGTATGCACTGAGTTCAAGTCATGGTTCGAGAGCAAGTGCTTCAAAATGCAAGATATATATGTGTGTATAATGCGTCAAATATCATGACTCCGAGGCCTGTGCGCAACTGGAAGTTTATGAAGAACGAGACGGGCGAGATGGAACGTGCCATCAGCTTGCGCCTGGTGCTTCGAGGCTTCATGGGCCTCGAAGCCTTCGACGTGGCAACCTTTTCGGGAGCAGCGCGGCGGTCGAGCCAGATATTGTTCGCGAGCGCGGCAGCGTGCAAGAAGCAATGGATCATTGCTTCCCTCGGCATCAACATGGCCTTCCTGAAAAAAGGGTTGACCTACGAGGAACTTGCTGAGGCAACGGGTGAAACAGAAAGTGGCGTGCTTTACTCTGCCGCCTGGATCGGCTACGGTGATTCGAAGTCTCGCGGGGTTCGAACGCTGCGACGAGTCGACGCGCTGCTTGCAGTGCCTCGAGCCAGGTACTGGCACCAAGGACGCACCTCAAGCTTTCTCACAAAATCTCAGAAGGACCACGAGAGGTTCCGGCCTCAGACCCACGTCCTACGACGAGGAGTTCGAGGCGAGCAGTGACCTGCTCGCGGCCAAACGCGTTGATGGCATCAATGTGGCTGGCTCAGGGGACACCATTGACATGTGCGTCAAGTGCGTATAAGACACCTCTGGTAAATATAAACTCAACAAGCGCACCTGCGCAAATTGTGCTGCGTGGTATCCCATGGATGAGGGCGGCAGTTTTCACGTTGGACCAAGACGAATACATGGGGCAGCTCCGTCCTATGCAACGTCCTGAACCTACGGGCGCCGACGCTGACGCCCAGCATCCAAGATGGAAGCAGACATGTTCGTCAGCCTTAGAGGCGGATTGGCGCATGCATTAATCGCCCCGGCGTGGCTGATGGTGTATTTCGCCCCTCTACAACGTGCCCAGGAACCGACCAACATGCAAGTGCGACGACTGAGCGCGATTACCAGGAAACTGCAGGCCTGCCCTAAGAATATATCGTCTACCAGGCAATGGCCCCCACGGGCGAGGTGGACCTGCAAAGCGTTCCCGGTTAGCGACGCCTGAGTGGAGATGCCGACGGCGAAGTCAAAGGCTATGGCGCTCGCGGGGCAAGCCTGCTACGGCGTGGAAGCGCGCCATCCGGTAAGCCCGTCGTTCGTTTGATCGATGCGTACTGCATGTTTCGCCGCTTGCAGGTCAGCCCGAGCTATTCAGCATAGACACCAGCAGCAGCCCGCAACTTTCAGGACTGTTGCCCCGCGATCATGGCTCTGCACAAGCTGCGCGCAGGGCCGTTAACCCCCACTCAGTTGAAAGACATGCTTGAGTTGGGTGGCTTGGGCATCAAGGTTACTTTGAGCACAGATGCTGAGTTTGTTTTAAAGTTCTTGTCAAGCGAAGACTTGAATAAGCCGACTGAACGTACCATTGTAGGACAAATCAGCTGGATACGACAGATGATGGAGCGAGGAATCGTGCACAGTATTCAATGGTGTGACACCCGCGATATGACCGCGGACGGTCACACCAAGGGGAGCATCGACAGAGAAATGCTCCTACAGGTCATGGGAAGTACACAATCCTTCAAACATGACTTAAAGCGTCAAACTCCCTATCGGGCTGGCCAGACATCTCGATCTGTAGCCGCCTGAGGAGTCCTCGTATGCACAGTAAAGTGCAGGCAAGGCAACTTGCGCGCGGGTCCACCTTCCTTATGCCCCCGCCCTTTTGCTGCCCTTTTGTACATGGTAGCTGCTGTACCGGCTGTGTAGAGGCGGCGGATTCACGCTTCGTCTCCCTCCCCCCCGACTCTAAAGTGAGCTGGTCGTTGCATGTGAGTGGGAGCGAGCGGGCATCCGCGGCTGCTTGGCTCAAAGCGGCCGGCCGCCCAGATCTGACCACATCTCAGCGCCAGGTGTACCATTTGCCATCGATACCAAAACTGCTTGAGGTGGCTCGCCCCCTACTGTCGGGACTCGCTATTGCGGTACAACAGAGCGGGAGCTGGGCTTCGCCTGAGGCGAAGCTGCTGGTTGGGCCTCCCAGCCCCTTTCAATCTTCTTGGGCCACGTTGGTGTCTTCGATTGCCCGCCCGGGCCGTTTTGGAAGTTCGGGGCGCAGATGCATCGTCTTCAGCGACGGATCGTGGCTTGGGGGGCCCTGGGGCGCTGGGGAGCAGCGCCTGGGAATGTGGGAAGTGTACGATCCTCGAGGGGGTGCGCGTGGGATGAGGGGTCTGGGAGTCAGCAGCCATGCGGGAAATGCACAATCTTCGAGCGCGCGCGCATGTAATGCGGGAAGTGCACCAATTTCGAGCGGGCGCGGATGGAATGGGGGATTCGGTATTCGTGTCAATGCGGGACGTGCACCATCCCCGAGCAGGCATGCGGGAACTGGCCTCGGACAGGAGGGGCGATGCACGCAAGAGTGTGCCAGTACTGCCAAGGGTGGCCCCCTCGTAGAATTAAAAAATCCTGCTGGACAGACCTTGGCATTCTTCCATCGGGGCCCAGGGGACGGTGGTCAGTGCAAACGGGGGTCAGTGAGAGCGCTGGCAAGGGGCGCGCTGGTTTGGTTTTGGTGCAGGATCCTGCAGGATCTTGCAAGCCCCGATTGACCCGGGTTTGGATTGACCCGGGTCAGTAGATCCCCGATTCCACGCCTCGACGTGCTAGGGGACACGGTGGCGGATCACCCCAACGCGCCCCAACTGGACCCCATGAGCGCACCGACAATGAACCGCCGACTCTCAGGAAAGTGTGAGAACATATGGGAAGTGGGGGGGCAGATAAAAACCCAGGAAATAAGGAAAATCCGGGGAATCTGGAACACCATTTCTGGGAGTGTCCTGCAAGTGACGACCTTCGCCACGGCGTGCGGGCCCCGACTGGCGGCTTCACGCGCAGATTAGGGCGGCCCATAACGGAAGCCACCCAAAAGGCGGCAATCACATCCTGGCTTCCGATGGTCTACACCATGGCGAGGATACGGCAACGGGTTCTAGTGGCTCGTTTTGCCACGACGCACGAGGGCGGGGCAGGGTACGGAGGCGTGCGGCCATACCACCCACTACTCTGGGAACAGTACTTATATCTGAAGCTGACATCATCAGGGCCACACAGGCCCGAGGAGAATGTGGTACAGCATGTGCTGCGCTGCAGTACGATCGTATTGCCATGCTGGACCGGTCCTCGCTTTCGGTCACCCAGGTCTTCCCTCGTGGCGCGGTTCGACCGGCGCAGCGGGCTTCTTCTCCCCCCGGGCCCGTGCAGGAGAGCCGGGGGAGCGCCACAGGACAACCCCTGGAGACGGGCCGCCGCCGCCCCTCGGACGGCCCCCCGTGAGCAGGCAACACTGCTTCTTTTCCCCGCCCTCCCGTGGTTGGGTTCTCGTTTCGACTAGGGAGCAGTGTGGGCCCCGCCTCCTTCCTCCCTCCCGCCTCCTCCCTCCCTCCTCCGCCTCCTCTGCCTCCTCTGCCTCCTCCCTTCTCGCCTTCCTCCTGCCTGCGATGCGGGGCTGCGAACTGTGCAGCCGTCGCCGTTTTCGTGGGCTCCTGTGTGCTTTATGTTTGTCTTCCTTTGCGCGCTCCGCTGGATGCCGCTGCGGGCGTCTCCTGGAGGCCTTTCGGGGCATCCTGGAGAGATCTTGTAGTCTTTTGGGGACTCCTGGGGCCGTCTTTGGAGGGCCTCAAGGTCAGTTCAGCGCGCGGTCTGAGCCCGCGTGAATCATACACTCACCCTCGTTCCCTTGGTCTTTGTGCCGTGTTGAAGCCCTCTTGGGCCGCCTTGGAGAGTTTTCGGGCTTTTTTGGACCGTCTGGGGGCTCTCTGGAACAGTTTCCAGAAACTCATGACCCTCTCGATGTAGCAGGCATGGCACTTGAGCATCTCAAGGGGGAGCCGCCAGGAGGCATGCCACGGACCCACTCGTGCCCAGTATGTCGGGACCTCCCAGGCAGAATGCTAGTTTGTTTGGCGGGTAGACGTGTGTCTTTTCAGAGAGCCAGGATCATCGCGATGGGCACGCATTGCATTTGGGCATCTCACGGGAGAGCAGCTAGGAGATATGACACGGGCTCGTTCGCGCTCAGATTGCCTGGAGTTCCCGGGCAGAAAATAAGTGTTGCTTGTTGCATCCGAAGTATCAGCCGCCAGAGTGGCACTCACACCCAGACTTACTTCCGTTCAATGACACAACACTGCTCCCACTCAGACTTTCTCACACTCACTCACTTTCAGACCACACATACTCGGACTTACTTGCACACATACTCACTCATACTTCAGACCCTTATGAGCTTCTTGCTTAAATGATTTGTCATATCACTTCAGTTTGTTTTACAGATTTTGTAGGAAGGACTCTTGAATCCACTTACGGGAGGAGGAGACCGAGCGATGGCGCAGCGCAGCATCAGCAGGAGGAGGATGAGGAGGGGGAGGAGGATGCCGAGCGATGGCGCAGCGCAGCATCAGCAGGAGCAGCAGCAGGATGAGCAGGGGGAGGAGGAGGAGGAGGAGGAGGAGGAGGAGGAGGAGGCGGAGGAGGAGGAGGAGGAGGAGGAGGAGGAGGAGGAGGAGGGTGAGGAGGAGGAGGGTGCCCAGCCGCGCGCGCACCCCCGCGCCGCTGCAGGCCTGGCGGCGCTGCGCGCTCGCGCCGGGGCTGCGGGAGCGGTTCGAGGAGGGCCTGCGGGCCTTGCCCCACGGGGGAGGCCTTACGGCTGGTGCCGCCGACCCTGAAGGGGGTTGGGCGACGTGCGATGGGAGGGCGATACTAGGGGAACGAACATTGACATAAACACAGCAAGGAGTCGTTTCATTTCCGACGTTCTCCGTTTTGCTCGTTTTCATTTCGGGCGTTTTCTGTTTCCGCCGCTTCCAGTTTCGGTCGCTTTTTCGTTTTCCGTTTCCACCGATTCGCATTGCGTTTGGGACATTTCGTTTCGGCCGTTTCGTTTCGGACGTTTAGTTTCGGGCGTTTCGTTTCTCGGAATACGGGGCAGGGCGACAGATAATGCTTGCAGAAAATGCGAGGTTGGATTCGGAATGCTCGGACGGGTCCAAGTGGTGATTGCGACCGCGGCAAACATGCAAGGGTCAATTCGAAACCGATCGGCGCAAGAGCCCCACTTGGGGCCGCTAAACATAAGTTTCTGGGCTGAAAAACGTTTTTGTATCCAGCAACTCAGCGGCAGGACGGGTCTTCCACGCTTCGAGTATGTTTTCGGTTCCGGGGAGCTCGACGGCAGTTTCGACGGCTTTGTGGATCAGCAGCATTTTTTTTGAGCCTTAAACAAAGATGTTCGCCGTATGGGGTCTCTGGAGATAGCAGTCGGCTCCATGTGCCTGGGGAGCAGCTAAAACAAGTTTGCCAGCCTCGAACAACTCACTTTCGCCGTCAGTGGCTTCTGGAGACAGCAGTCGGCCCCTGGGGCCCTGGGGAGCAGCAACAACAGCTGTTCGAGCATCACGCAATTGTTTTTCGCCGTCCAGGGCTTCTGGAGATACCAGTCGGCCCCCAGGGGCCTTGGGGAGCAGCAACAAACAACCTTTCGAGCCTCGAACATCGATTCCCCCTGCCCGGAGCCTCTGGAGATAACACACCCACGGCCCTGGGGAGCAGTAGAGACAAATTTTCTTGCCTTGAGAATTCGATTTTCGCTGTTTGGGGCCTCTGGAGATAAGATAACAATCGGCCCCACAGGGCCCTCGGGAGCAGCAAAACAAATTCTTGGGCCTCGAAAGTCGATGTCCGCCGTCTTGGGCTTCTGGTGAGAGCACACCCAGGGCCCTGGGGAGCAGCAGAGCTTTTCGAGCATCAAACAATTGTTTTTCGCCGTCCGGGGCTTCTGGAGTTGGCAGTCACCCCCCAGAGCCCTGGGGAGCAGCAAAGACAGCTTCTCGAGCCTCGAAACATTGATGTTCGCCGTCTGGATGGAGCCTTGATCTGGAGATAGCAGTCGGCCCCCAGAGCCCTGGGGAGCAGCAGAAACAATTCTTCGAGCATCGAACCATAGATTTTTGTTTTTTGGGGCATCTGGAGAACGCATTCGGTCCCCAGGGCCCTGGGGAGCAGCAGCACCGACTTCTGCGCCTCGAAACATCGATGGTTGCCGTCTGGGGTGTCTGGGGATAGCAGTCGGCCCTCGGGGATCTGGGGAGCAGCTGAAACAACTTTCCGAGCATCGACAAATCGACGCTCGCGGCTTGGAGCTTCTGGAGATAACAATCGGCCCCCAGGGGCATTGGGGAGCAGCGAAAAACAACCTTTCGAGCCTCGAACCTAGATTTCCCTTGCCTGGAGCCTCTGGAGATAACACACCCACGGCCCTGGGGAGCAGTACAAACAGCAATTTGAGCCTCGAAATCTGGGTGTTCACCGTCTGGGGCTTCTAGAGATAGCGTTCCGCCCTCAGAGCCCTGGGGAGCAGCAGAAACACTGTTTCTAACCTTGAGAATTAGATTTTCGCTGTTCGGGGCCTCTGGAGATAATAATCGGCCCCACAGGGCCCTCGGGAGCAGAAACAAACAACTTTTCGAGCCTCGAGAAATCGATGTCCGCCGTCTTGGGCCTCTGGTGAGAGCACACCCAGCGCCCTGGGGAGCAGCAAAACAGCTTTTCGAACATCAAACAGTGTTTTTCGCCGTCTGGGGCCTCTAGAGGTAGCAGTCGGTCCACATGGCCCTGGGGGCGTCAAAAACAGTTTTTCGAGCCCCGAAACATTGATTTTCGCCGTCTGGAGCTTCTGGACATAACAGTCGCCCCCCAGGGCCTTGGGCAGCATCAGAAACAGCTTTTTGAGCCTCGAAACCTTGATTTCCGCTGTCTGGGGCTTCTGGGGATAGCACACCCAGGTTCTTAGGGAGCAGTAAGAACAGCTTTTCGAGCCTCGAAACGCATATTTTCACCGCTTGGGGTTCTTAACTGTGGATTTTTGCTGCCTGGGGCCGCTCTGGAGATAGCAATCGACCCCCAGGGCCCTGGGGACCAGCAGAAACAATACGTCGAACCCAGAATCATTGATTTCCGCCGTCTGGGGCTTCTGGAGGTCGCACACCCAGGGGTTTGGGGAACCGCAGAAACAGCTCGTGCTGCCTTGGAATAATATGAGGTTCACCGACTGGGGCCTCTCGAGATAGCAGTCGGCCCCCGGGGGGGCCTGGGAAGCAGCAGGAAACAATAGAGCCTCCAAAAATCAATGTTCAACAGTCTGGGGCCTCTCGAGATAGCAGTCGGCCCCCAGGACCCTGGGGAGCAGCAGAAACAATGGCTCGAGCCTCGAACATCGATTTCCGCCGTCTGGAGCCTCAGGAGATAGCAGTCGGCCCCCAGGGCCCTGGGGAGCAGTTCGAGCCTCGAACAAAAGATTTCCGCCGTCTGGAGACAGCGCATCCAGGGCCCTGAGGAGCAGCGAAAAACAGCTTTCGGAGCCTCGAAAACTGGACTTTCGCCGTCTGGGGCCTCTGGAGAGAGAGAGTCGGCCTCCAGGGCCCTGAGGCGCAGCAGAAACAGCTTTTTCGAGCCCCGAGACATATAGACTTCCGCCGTCTGGGGCCTCTAGTCTAGAGATGGCCGTCGGCCCGCAGGGCCCTGGGGAGCAGCAGACATTTTTTTTTCGAGCCTCGAACAATTTTTGTTCCGCCGTCTGGAGCCTCTGGAGATGGCACACCCAGGGCTTTGGGGAGCCGTAGGAACAGCTTCTCGAGCCTCGTAAAAATCGAGGTTCGCCGTCTGGAGCCTCTAGAAATAGCAGTCCACACCCAGGGCCCTGGGGAGCAGCAGAACAGTTTTTCGAGCCTCGAAACATCGATTTTCAATGTCTGGGGCCTCTGGCGATAGCACGCCCAGGGCCCTTAGGAGCTCCGAGCGGTCCAAAATTGCTTTTCGGGCCCCCGGGGGCTCCGCGGGGTGGGTCGGGGGAGGGAGGCGGCAGGGCTCCGCGGGAACGGGGAAGGCCTTCAGGTGGAGAGTTCCCCATGTGGCCACGAAGCGCGTGAGGGGCGTGCCCAGATGGATGGCGAGGCGCCTCGCGAACCTTGCCCCTGGGGCCGTCCGTGGAGCTCCCCATGGCGTGCCGTGTTGGCGGCGCCGCGCCGACGCTCGCTTGCGCGCAGCTGCTGATCTCTGGCCCGGAGTCGCGTCGTCGCGGTCATCGTTCGCGCGTCTCTCTTAGTCTGCCCCGCAAGGGCCTGCGATTTGTCTTCGCGCTGCTTCCTTTGCCCTTTGCCCTTGCCGCGCGCCGGCGCCTCGGCGCCGCCCGCGGGCGCGCGCTGCGTTTTTCGCAGCCAGCGTTTCTCGCAGCCAGCGTTTCTGCCGTTTCGGCGGCGTTTCGTTTCGGGCGTTTCCGTTTCCGCCGTTTCGGTGGTGTTGCTGTTACGGCGGCGCCTGGTTTCGGAGTTCGCTTCGGTTCGTTTCGTTTCGTTTCCCGTTTCCCGTTTCGCTTCCCTGCTTCATGTAAACACAAGAACTCGGAGGTGCGCGCGGATTTCTCGGATCGGCGCTGGATCCCCCTCCATGGCGCGCGGAGCGCGCCAGGGGCGGCGCCAGAGGCGCAGCCAGGGGGCTCCAGCGTGGATCCGAGAAATCCGGGCGGATCTCCGAGTTTTTATGTTTATGCCATTTCTCGTTCCCGTAGATACAGTTGGAAAGAGGTATATGATCGAGGTCGATTCGGGGAGGGTGCCCTAATGTTTTTCGTGTATGCTGGGGAGGTTACTCTTGGATGTTCTGTGTGCTCTGGCCGACGGATGGTCTCATGTTCTTGAGGGATGTTCTTCTGGCCTGGGTCCGACGGTAATGGGGGGGCGATAAAAGGGGGGGGGGCGGCGAGGGCCGCAGAGAAGGGGCCCTGCAGGGCCCCTGAAGGGCCCTCTAGGGCCAAACAAGGGGCCTCGAGAGCCCGAAACGCGCACCTTTCCTCCCTCCCACTCACCCCCCCCATTCAACGACGCCCAAAGGGGGACGACGCCCACGGCGGCGGCGTCGGCGGCGACGACGACGCTGACGTGGGGCAGAGTCCCCAGCGAGGCTCCGTGGAGCTTCCTTGGAGCGCGCCCGTGGTCGTCTGGGGGGCAGTTTTTGGGGCCTCTTCCGGGAGCATCTTGGGGGTGCTTTCCGCGGGCCCGCGGGCCCTGGTCCCCCTTGAGGGGGGGGAGCAGTCAGGGGCAGCGCCAGAAGTCGATCTCGGCTTCTGAGGCTCGTTGTTCTACTGGGTAGGATATGAATCGAGGGGTGGGCGACGAACCTTCCGACGGAGCTTGCCCATCCCCCCCCCCCCCCTCCACCTCCTCCTCCACCTCCTCCTCCTCCTCCTCCTCCTCCTCCCCTCCTCCTCCTCCTGGCACCAGTTCTTATGGTGTCAGCGCCACACACGCCTCGGGGCACACCGTCAGAGTCGACTGCATTCGGCGACTGGGGGCAGCTAAACAGGCTCGCGCCTTTTAGAACCAGCCTCGTGGCATTTTGCTTGCCCTCGGCAGCGGCGTTAACCACGCTCCCTGACCTGGAGATAGGTACCAGGCACGGGAGATTGCGCATTTGGTTGAGAGGCGGGGCCATGTGGCCCGTAAGTCCCATGGTGGCCATGTGCCCGCTCACCCTGGGAAGCGAACCCAGTTGTGCATGCCAGCTGATTGGGCAGGGGTTGATAAACGGGAAGGGCCTCGCAGTGGCGAGGTGAA